AAGGCGGCGGACGCGGGGCGCGGGGCGCGGGGCGGGCGGCGGGCGCGGGGCACGGGGGGCGGGCGCGGGGCGCGGGGCTGGCGCTCACGCTCCCTCTGTCCCCGCAGTGGAAGAGTAGGTGGCTGGTGCTGCGCAAGCCGTCGCCGGTGGCAGGTGAGCGGGCGCGGGGCGCGGGCACGGGGCGCGGGGCACGGGGCGGGCGGCGGCGGCCTCCTGCGCCCGGCCGGCCCGGAGCGCGGCCAGCTCGCCCGAAATAGCCGGCGGCGCCGGGGCCGAGGGCTGTAACCGGAGAGCGCTCCGGCCTCGCCTCGGCCTGCGCCTGCCGCGGACGCCGGGACGCGGGACCCTTCCGCGACCGCACCGGGCCCGGGAGCCGTCATCTCAGACTCCAGGCCCGGGGTGGGGACCTCCTTGGCAGAAGGGCGGATTGAGGCTCGGAGGGGCCTGCGGGAGCCGGTGGAGGCCCGAGGGGCGAAAGGGCAGGAGCCTGTCCTGGCCCCTTCCCCCATCACGCGGCAGGGAGCATCCCAGAAAGTTCTGCCCCAGTTGGGGATTGAGTCGTGTCTTTGAATCCAAACGTGGATGGGTGTTCCGGGCAGCGCTGACCCCAGGCGGCCCTTCCAGCCTCCCCAGGTGGAGCCGAGGCTGGGCCGCCAGGTAGGAACGGAGAAGAGTGAAATCTACCTTGTGTGTGGGATCCGTCCTGGGAGGAGAGGACGGCCCCCTCCCAGCCCCCTGAGCGGAGCCGGCACCCCAGCCGGGAGGAGCCGGCTGGGAGCCCCGGAGCCGGGCATCTCCAGCTCAGCGGCCGGAGGCTCTGAGCTGTGCAGCTGCAGCTGTTTCCGGAGACAGGTGCCTTGGAGCCGGCCCAGGCTCCCGGGGGTCTGTGTGGGATGCTGGGGGTGTGAGTGCACGCTGCCTCACACGTGCCAGGCTGCCCGAGAGTCTTCCGGGACGCCTGGGGTGTCTGCCATTTCCTAGGCAGGGTGTGGAGGGCCCCCTCCCTGTGCCCCTCCCGGGTCCCCTCCTCCATCCCTTCTGCTGAGCTGGCTCTGGGAGCCTCGTGGTTGCGATAGAAGGGTCTGCTTTCGGCCACGGACACACTCACCTCCTGCCTGGGCCTCAGCTTCCCCTCCAAGGGGGCCTGGGCGCCGTGCACCCTTCGTTCAGCCGATCAGTCTTTCATGCCCAGGCCCTGCATCTGGAGCTGTGGGGTCCTAGTCCTGGGGAGCTCAGGGACGCCTGGCAGGGGTGGGGGAGGGTAAGAGCTGGGGAGGGGGTGCCCAGCCGGCAGGGAATGGGGGCACCGGCCAGCTGAGGGTGGCAGAGGCGGGGGTGAAGGCCGTGCTGATCCGGGAGGCTGTGGCCCGAGGCAGGGGGCTGGCTGTTGGGTGGGGGTTGCTTGCCAGGACGGTGGTGAGCCAGGGCCTGTGCGGCCTCTGGGACAGGTGGCCCACCCGAAGAGCAGTCCCGGGGTGGGCCTTGTCCCTCTTGGTAGGGGGGGGTAGTGATCTGCAGCCCCTGGTGGTGGATTTTATGCCAGTATCCGAGAGCGCTAGTTGAGAGGTGAGCTCTGGCCGGCCCTGGAGGACACCTGTGGAGGGGGCCCTCGAGCACTGGCGGGGAGTCTGCAGTGGGTCCTCAACACCGTAGACTCTGAGCCTGTAAGTGGGCTTGTGGTCATCGGGCCTTTCCTGGGTCTCACCACGTGCAGCCCAGCGGTAGAGAGCCGGGGGCGTCGGGGAACCAGGACTGGACTGGAGGGGAAATCGCGGAGAAGAGGGGGAAGGCGCTCGGGCAGGACTGGGCCGGGGACTGGGGGCGGGGAGGGGATTAGGGGTGGTGGACGCGGCCCCTCTGGGCTGCTGTCCACTCTGAGCCCTGCGTCTCACGTCCTGGTCCCCAGGGTCTCAGAACCCCCGCGGTCGCTGCCGGTTATCTTAGCAGCGTCCCCTTTATCCTCACACTGCACGAAGGCCGCGGTCATCCTCTTGCGGGTGCTTGGCCTGAGGCGGAGTTGCCAAGCTGACCCACTGCCCGGCTCTCGCCAGCCCTCCCCCTCTCTCCCTCCCGGTCAGTGCCAGTGGCCATGGTTCCCCGACGGGTCAGAGGCTCCGGACCCTCCTCGCTCTCCCCTCCCTGGCCCCTAGCTGATGAGCTGGCCCCTCTCTAGTGTGTTGGGGGGCCTGGCTGGGAGAGGTGCAGCCGCCTGGCCCCCCTTATCCTGAAGACCAGCTCCCTCGGGTGGCCTTGGGTGTTGGGGGCAGGTCCTCGTACTTGGGGTCCCCACAGCTAAGACTCCCCAGATCCTGGCTGCAGCCAAGGGGGAGCCTGGGAAGGAGAGAGGAGGGGCCGCCCTGCCTTCTCGTCATGGAAACGCAGGACTCTTGTTTTTGAAAAGTATTTCCTTCCCAGGAGGGCCCACGAGGAGAGGTTAGGAGGGAATCAGGCGCTGCAGGCGGGCGGGGGTAGGAGGGCCCCTCTCCGCTTTGGGTCTTTTCTCCTGTTTTTGCTTTTCTTAACCAGGACCACTTGTTCTTCTTACAATAAAGTTTAGTTAGTGGAAGGAAGGAAAAGCTCTGATTTTTTTTTTTGGCAGTACGCGGGCCTGTCACTGCTGTGGCCTCTCCCGTTGCGGAGCACAGGCTCCGGACGCACAGGCTCAGCGGCCATGGCTCACGGGCGCAGCCGCTCCGTGGCATGTGGGATCCTCCCGGACCGGGGCACGAACCCGCGTCCCCTGCATCGGCAGGCGGACTCCCAACCACTGTGCCACCAGGGAAGCCCTGATTTATTTTTTTTAAAAGATCTTTATTGGAGTATAATTGCTTCACAATACTGGGTTAGTTTCTGTTGTATAGCAAAGTGAATCAGCTATACCTATACGTATATCCGCATCTCCCCTCCCTCTTGCGTCTCCCTCCCACCCTCCCTATCCCACCCCTCTAGGTGGTCCCAAAGCACCGAGCTGATCTCCCTGTGCTGTGGGGCTGCGTCCCACTAGCTGTCTATTTTACATTCGGTAGTGTATATATGTCCATGCCGCTCTCACTTCGCCCCAGCGTCTCCCTTCTCCCGCCCCCGTGTCCTCACTTAAAGTGAAAGGGAAAACCTCTCACTGACAGAAGTAACAATCTTTATAAAAGGGAGCAATACTTCAGCGGGACTGTGCTCCTTGCGGCCTCGACCTCTGTCCTGGCCAGAGGATTCATGCCTGGATCCTTTCCCTTGAGAGGAGGGGGGTCTGGGCGCCCCCCTGGTGACCCTGGGCAGCCCCTCTCTTCCTCCCCGGGTTGAGGCTTAGGATGGTGGGAGAGGTGTCTCTTGCGTGGCTGCCCTGTGGAGGGGGCGGCCCACCCACAGGTGTGGCACTAGAGGGTTCCTGCGCAGCCAGGGCAGCTCCCCTGCCGTCCGCTCCGAGGGCCCTCAGAGCTCCGAGGGCTTCACCAATTCCTGTGCAGGCTGCGGGGGCTTTATTCAGCCCGGAAAAGCCCCCGGGAGGGACCCTGACTCCTGGAGCTGGCAGGGCCTTTGGGGGGTCATTATAGGCACAGGGGCTGAGACTGGCTGGCCCACAAGTGACTGGGTGCTGCCCCCTGCCCACAAGCCCTTGGCCGGCTGGGAGGTCAGCCCCTGCTCCTGCCACCAAAGGTGAGGTATTAGTCCAGTACCCCCTTCCTATCCCTGCCCTGAGACAGGCGCTGAGTTCCTGGAGGGCAGGGTCCCTGACTCAGCGTCACCACTCACAGGCAGCCTGGCGGGGGCTGGGGCTGCCAGGTGAGGTACCGTGAGCCCAGCCACTCTCGGCAACATCTGGCCCTGCAAGCTTGCCCAGGAACCACGGCCTCGGGACACCTGCCCCTTAAGCCGCCTGAGCGGTCCCACTGGCCTGTGCCCGTGCCTCTCCTGTGCAGTGGCAGCTCTGCTAACTGAGGTGGGCGCATTCCGAGAGGTTGGGCGTCCCAGGTGGTGATGGTGGGGAGGGTCCCTTCTCCGGTCCCACCTTCTGGCCTTGGATCTGCCGTGTCCCCCAGGAATGGGCGTGACTCCTCAGTCCTGGGCTGGCAGGCACTCAAGGACAGGGTGTGGGTGGTGGCCAGCCATTCCGTCCCCACGGAGACCTCGAGAAGGGGGCCAGGGCTTCCTGCAGCCCCTGGTTCCGGACCGGGAATCGGAGCACCTGGGCTCAGGTCTCGCCTCTGCTCGGACCAGCTCTGTGCCCTGGACAAGTCCTAGCCGGTCCCTGCGGAGGGTGGACGGGTGGTGGGCGTGCATTGGGCCTCGGCACCGTCCGTTCCCGCTGCTGCCGCGAGGTCGGGGTAGCCTGCCTGTGGGAGCCCGTGAAGCCCCCTTGCGCCCTGCGTACACGGTGAACGTGCTTCCCCCGGAACTGGATCGGGAACAGGCCTGGACCAGCGGGTCAGCGGGGTCCCTCGGCTTCAGCCTCAGGCTCCGGCTGGCGGCCCGGTCAGCAGCCCCCATCCCCAGTGCTCGGCTGCCCCTAGCCCGCTGCCCAGCTGCTCTGCTGAAGGCGCTGCCCAAGGTCACTGTGACCTCTGAGGGCTAAAGCCAACAGCCGCTCCTCCGCTGTGTCCCATGGGTGGGCGTCAACCTCTGTCTCCTCTCCCAGCTCCCCCTGCCCCCCACGAGGCCCGGAGGTTTGCGTCTTCCCGGCCACCCGCCCTCCCCAGGCTCTCGGCCCCGGGCTAAACGCCTCTGAGTGCCATGACTGACTCCATGGTTATTTTTACATCTTCAGACGCGTGTGTCCAGCTGCCTGTGTGCACGCCGCCTGGCGTCTGATGGGCCTCTCAGGCTCACGTGTCCGGGACTGAACCCCAACCCCGCCCCCTGCCCCCGGCCCCGCACCCCCTCCCCAGGTGCCCCCCTCCCCAGTCCAGCGTCGCCCTCCTCTTCCTTCCCCTCACCCCATCATCCGCCCACCAAGAGGTCCCATGAGTTAGCGCTGCCTCCGCAGAGGGAAGGCCCCTCCCGCTGTCACCATGGTTACTGCAGAGCCTAGCTTTGGGCCCCCTTTCCTCTGCTCCGCCTAGGCCCGCAGCTCCTCTGGCCTGGACAGCTGCAGGGGCCTGGAGCTTTGCTGTCACCCTGTGTCCCTTCGCCACACGCAGCCAGGCTGGGCCCTCTTCGCT